AATGTTGAAAAAGAGGTCCACTTCAAGAATAAGATTAAATATATTTTATTGGAAGATACTATATACATAAAATTGGAATATTGATATATTTTTTCTATAGTTATTCAATATTCCCAGATGCTATCTATTATCTCTAGCTGGAAATATAAGAGGATAAGACATGGGATCACAGTTAGCATTGATAACTGGTATAATTTGTAAATCAGAGTTAGAAGCACAGGGATGTACAACCAGATGGTGTAGGGAAAATTGATTACTATTAGAACCAATAACTATTGCAGCAACTTTATTAGTTTAGGTGAATTATACTGCTTTCGAGTTGATTGTTAATTATAATCAAAAATTATTTCTACATTTAGTGGTTGTCTTTTTTCAAACTGAGCATGTTAATCTTTTTCATTCATAATTTCTCACAAAATTTATAAGCTTGGGCATATGGACTTGTGCTTCAAATAATTTGATCAAGTAAATCAAGCAGCTCATGATTAAGGCAAATATTATTAGGATATTGAGATGTTATTCCTCTTGCTTCACTTGTATCAAGAAAATAAAGTTGACTAAAAGTAGGAAGTTCTTTATGCATGAGTCTTGCAGAACTAAGACAATAGTATATTTGACCAGAATTACGATAAATACGAGGTCCTTGACCAGTTAAAGTTTCACAATTGGCAAGGATAAAAGCAAATGCTAAAGCACAGTCGTAGTTTTGAATGTTCTTAAAGAATTCAGATGATAAAGAATTTTTTTTTTAAATAGAAGCTTTAATTCATTTGGAAATGGTAGAGGTTGTCTAAGAATAACAATTCCTTTTTGACAACATGAAATAAAAATATCCAATTCACAACCTATATATTTACCTGCAAAATGAAAAGCTCCGTATGCTTGACAAACAATATCCATTGTTTCAATGTTTAGTTCAACTGGAAGTATTTCTGAGTATAATAATGCTTCTCTGTAAGTCAGAAATAGTCGCATTTTTTTTTTGTTGTCTTAGTTGTCGATGCTGTTTAGTATTAGTCATTTTTTCTAAAATTGCTTCTTCAGGTATTAACACTTGATATTTACGTTTGTGATATTGGGCAGCCATGGATCATCTAGAATTTGATTGAGTTTGAGTTTCATTATTACACCAAATGCGCATATATGAGATATGAGAAAAAAATTTATTGCAAGTATTCATCGGATCAGATTATCAGATCAAAAAAGTAATAATATTTTTAGGTAAAACTAATTGGTCATAAGTTTTAGTTATATATCTTTACTAATAAGAATACAATTTTCTTTTTTTTTTATAAAATAAAATCATAGAATTGATTTATATAAAGTTTATATGTCTTTTATATAGAATCTTTTTTTTAAAAAAAAGCAATTACTTTATTGTTATTAACAAACAAATTTGTCAACTAATTATTAATCCAACGTATTTTAATCCAATGTACTAATGACAAATTAGCTTTAATACACATAAAACTTGTTATTCATACAAGAAATTAAACTCAGTTTATTATTTGGGCTTTGTATATTCCTAAGATGACTACATACGTATAGTATCTGATATGTTAATTTTATTTGGTATAAATTTGGCATATAAATATTTAGTAAGTTTGATATACTTTAGTTTTAAATATTTGTCTGACTATAATTGGTTAAACAAGGTATAATACATTATGATCAAGCATGTATGCTACTTATGTATATATATATGTTGTATTCGAATTTGAAATCTGCCCGATTCGGAATCCGGCTGCCCCGATTCAAAATCAAGACGGCCGGATTTAAAATTCTTATATGGGGCACTCGGCTCACTATACTAATATTCTAACTCTAATCCTAACTTTACGAATCAGGTACCCGTATAAGAATTTTAAATCTGGCTACCCCAATTCTGAATTGGGACAGCCAGATTCTGAATTGAGCAAATTCCAATCTGGGGTATGACATATACGTATGTACGTATGTACATACTGTACATTGCGAAAGGTTAAATTGTGTCTTAAAATATATTTCATAGATATGATGAAGATTTGTGTATGTATATACTGAGGTGGTTAAGTTGAATCTAGCCAAAATTAGGTAGAATGGTGCATTAAGTCCAACTTATAGCAGTTACTGCATTTATCGAATTTATTTGATTTATTTAATTTATCAAATTCAGTGCATTTGTTAGATTTAATCAATTTAGTGAACAAATTCATTATGCATCTATTAGTAGTGCAAAAGTAGAAAAGCACTACCTTTCACATTCAATAAATATAGTTCAGTTCTGATAGAACTTGACTAGAGGTGAATACTTTGGATTCAGTGTTTTCAGTATTAATTACCCCTTCCCAATAAGTAAATTGACATAAAAGTTGAATCCTGTAACCTTGAATTAGAGATTCATGACATAGTCTAGAACTCTAATCGACCCTAGTTATACGAACCAAGTCTTTTTACACCTTGATTATAGCCCTAGTATTATTAGAATCAGTTAGAGTAGTTTTAACACTGTGTTGTATCACAATATCTAACATCAGAGAAATTCTGACTTTCTCAATAAGATCATAGCAAAAATATCTTGATCATCCAGTAGAACAGATAGAATAAAATAAAACAATAGGAAAAATCTATAAGCTACACAACAACTAAATACTGCCAAATGCAAATTTTAGGAAATAGATTTTTGGTAATTTGCATTTAAAAAACAATAAGAAAAAATTGTATTAGTAAGATTTTAATACATATCCAAAACAGAAGTAAAAGTTATATATAGAAAAGATTGATTGCATGAGAAATTATAAATATTGTAACCTTTGTTGGGAGAGCTTATGAAAATAATATGAATAGAAGGCCAATTTAACTTCAACAGTGTACAGTGAAATGAAGGCAACTAGAAACTCAAAGTAGGTTTTTATATTGGTACTAAAAAAAAGAGCCAAAAGGTTGCGATAACGAATACTCTAATAATAATGAAGATAATTAGAGGGCGATGCAACTATAGGCGATGCTGTAAACAATGGTGATTAAGGAGGTGATATCAGAAATGATGATGATGGTTTAAGAATATTTAATTAAGGGTGATAGTTTCAAGCGTAATAATTAAGACAAAAGCGGACAATGATCAAGTGACACTGGGGTTACTTTTAGTTCACATGATAGATTATCGAAGTCAAATAATATGTTGTAGGTCACGTTCTCTACCACAATTCGCACAAGTTGCTGATGGGTATAACAAGGAATAATTCAGAACCGAAGTCTTAATAATCCAAGCCGAAGTTACAAGTCAATTCTGTCTGTCAAATTGAGTTTCGAATAGGTTTATTAAAGTTCCAAGTCAGATTCAAAAGAAACAATATACAAGAAATACTCAAATAAGTATATACTTTATTGAAGCAAAAGAGAATGATTTATTTAAGGATGGAATGGTTTTCTTTATTAATCATAAAAGTAGAACTAACAAATTCTAAATTCTACTGTCTAGAACTTTAGATTCTTAAATACATTTTGAACTTTGGCTATGTTTACTTCCTAACCACTACGTTTACACCACTTCTGCTACGTTTACACAACCACAGCTACGTTTACACACCCACTTTCTAAGTTATTTTCATGTGATTGCGCATATAGGTAATTATAACAAGTTTGAACGGCTATATTTACATTGCTATAGCTATGTTTGCTTAGCTATAGGGATGTTCACTCTCCCATTTCTTCATCATTTTCTTGTAAATGTACAAATAGCCTTTGTAACAGGTTCAAACAGCTACATTTACGTACCCACTGTCACGTTTTACGTGCTTTAAGTAACCTTCATATAATTAAGCTACCAAGCCACCCATCATTACTATTTTAGTATAAGTTATGGAACCTTTAAAAGAAATTAATAAATTTGTCAAAATTGGATATTGTTACCAACATGGATGGGGAATTTCAAATAACTATATATATATAGATAATTTACTAAGAAAAATAGTTTTATTTACAAAAAGTTAATTCGTTACATATGCCTCTTCTTGTGATTGAGCCCCTGCTAAATCTGCTAACTTCAAAACTTCATTAATTTCTTGCTGAACAATAGATTGAGCTTCCTCTTTCAAAAGGAAAAAATCTTCATCACAGATTTGATTTAGAACATAAAGGGTAATATGACACGATGTGTAGAGGCAAGAAGAACCACGAATAGAGTATAAAATATAAGTACATTTGGCTGTTAAAATAATTTTTTTAACTTTAGTCAGGGGTAATAGTTTTTTAACAATTTTCTTAACTTCTTTACATGACAACTTTTCTTCTAACAATGCTTCCAAATGATAATAATAGTGTAGCTAAGTGCTACGATCATTTCTTTTATTCAAGATCTTATTGCAAATAAAGGTTACTTTATTATCTCAGTTGCGTCCAAAAGGCACTTCTATTTTGTGAGCAGGTTTACTATCAGTACAAAGATTATAGAGAAATTTGGTCATTCTTAGGTGAGCTTATTGGCATTGTTCTTTCTTTTAGTATCTTTAATTAGTATTGTATAGGTTTGAGGGTTTGAGGGTTATATGGGTATAGGGCTAGCTTGTAGGGTTATAGCTTTGTGAATTAACAAATTTGATTGGCTAAAACCAATTTAGGGTTAGAGTTATGAAAAAATTCTTATGTAGAAATTAAAAAACTAATTTTGGAGTTAGATAAAGCAAGAAATTCTGAGTATTTAAACAGACAACATGATATATTTTATTTTAATTTAAGCTTATAAATTTGAAATTAAAAATTTTCTTTTGTTATATTTAATTTTTTATAAGGGTTAATTAGTATCAGAGGTAAAACTAGAGCTAAGATTTTCACGAAATATCAAATTTAATTAGTTAAAAGCAATTTAGAGTTAGAGTTATGAAAAAATTCTTATGTAGAAATTAAAAAACTAATTTTGGAGCAGATAAAGCAAGAAATTCTGAGTATTTAGACAGGCAACATGATATATTTTATTTTAAAATAAGTTTATAAATTCAAAATTAGAAATTTTTTTTTTATATTTAATTTTTTGTAAGGGTTAATTAATAACAGAGCAGAAACTAGATCTGAGATCTTTGCGAAATAACAAATTTGAATGATTAAAAGCAATTTAGTTGTAGGGGTATGAAAAAAGTCTTATATAGAAATTAAAAAACTAATTTTGGAAGTAGATAAAGAAAGAAATTCTGAGTATTTAGATAGGCAATATGTATTAATGCAAAATTAAAAATTGTCTTTTTTTTATATTTATTTTTTGTAAGGGTTAGTATTAGAGATAAAACTAGAGATGAGATGTTCGTGAAATATCTAATTCAATTGGTTAAAAGTAATGTAGAGTTAGGGTTAGGGTTACTAACTAAGCTTGCAATCTAAGATCGATTTCGTCCTTATTGCGACTCTTCAGTTAGATGTAGCTTTATGATAGAAAAATTTAAAGACAAAATTGTTCAGCCAAGGCTGTCCTATTATTTATATCTTCAAAATAATCCTATCTCACAACGAAAAACAACGAATTTTCATAGAGAATTCATTCGGAT